TCATGTAGACCCAGCCAGTGTAGAACATGGGTGTGGATCACTCACCATCCACTAAGCAAAAACGGACTGCAGGTTGATTGATTGATTGACTTTATTTTAATTTAATTTATTCATTTAAAGTTTTTACATCCCGCCCTTTACAGTGTCTCAGATTTTAGAGTTATGGGTGGTTTGTGAACCATATCAACAACCAATCCTGTCTGGGTTCACACAACACAATTACCCACACCATGTGCCACCACAGCTTGCATTTTAGAAAGCTCAGCTTGAGCATCACGACAAGCCTTGCACCTGGTATGGGTTACTGCAATGCTGCTGACTTTGTGAAAAGAACTATTTGTGAGAAAGAAAGGCTTCCAATTAATTTCCAAGACCAAGTTAAAGTATTAGTTATATTATATTCTATTTAGAATATGAATATTAGAAAATTATATTCCAGTTTTCCAATCTCTTCACATTACACAGCCATCCACTGTTCCGTAAGTCCAAATTTTAGAGGTGGGACCCAACACCCTACTGTAGCCAAGCTTAAGAACATATAGATGAAATCAATACTCATTTGTTCCCTGTTAACTCACTGCATTCATTTGTCTCCTCTTCTGTGTTGCTTGTGTCTTTTTTCAATGGAAAGTTTAGGGAATAAGGCCCAGTCCTTTTACTGAGCTGATTCACATGATCACAGGAACCCACTTTGGTATACCGGGTTGAGGGGTGTTTGGGTGACCATTTTGCATATTTGAAAGATCCTCGGTGGGGTGTACAGCTGGAATGCAGCATTCACTTTGGGGCACCGAGGTTTAGAAAGGACGCTGATCTTCTGAAGATGGCTCAGAGGAGGGCAATAAAGATGATACAGGGCCTTGAAAATATGTTGGGATACTGAAAGAACTGGGGCTGTCCAGCCTTGAGAAAAGAAGACAAGGTGACGTGCTAGCATTCTACAGGTACCTGAAAGACTGTCATAAAGAAGAAGGATAAGGCCTATCCTTACTCATCCCAGAACGTAGGACACAGAATAATGAATTTAAACTTCAGTACACCAGATGCAGTCAAGACACCGGGAAGCATTTCCTAACTGTAAAAGCAGTATGACAGCAGCACCAGCTGCCAAGAGAGATGGTGTGCTCTTCCACATTAGAGACATTCAAGAAGCAATTGGACAGTGCTCTGAGTGAATCCCACTAAAACAAATGTAGAAAGAGCTAAAGAATTGTTCAAGTTATGTAGGAACTTGCGGAGGGGTAGAACATCAAAGGGATTAAGGGAGGTGGGGAGAGGTTGAACCTACCTCAGTTAGCTTTATGACAGGTGTCTCAATCTCAACTTCACTGGGAGCCGCTGGAAGTAGAATCTGGGTGAGGCTGGGCCGCATCAAGTATTCCACCACCGTGGTGGTGGTGGGCCGCTCATCCCATGTCACTCCCGGAGGCCGGCCCGGGCTCCACCGGCGTATTAAAGGCCGCAGAGCCCCTTCCCCGTGCCCTACCGTCCCGGCAATTGGCCCACGGGCCACGAGTTTGAGACCGCTGCATTATGAGGTGAGGTGGCTGAAGTTTGTTCTGGTTTTTTGTTTGGTTGCTTGTTTGGTAAAAATATGAAACCTCAGAGGAAAGTCCTGTGTTTCTTGGCAGTGCCATGAAACTTTGTGCAGAACATCTCCTGTAAAATGGCATCACACAATCCTGAATCCCCAGTTTGTATAATGTGGTTCTGTGTCTGAATGGGAATATTAAAGATGAAGGGCTGGAGAAAAGAAGTTTGTACAGCTAATAAAATTCTTTGTTTGGCTCAAACCGGTCAGTTTCTACAGCAACCAGAAATTGCAGTTTGGCACAGTAAAACAAAACTCCATATGATGTATCAGTATTTCAAAGTGATCTTTTCTACTTCCTCTTCAAACTTTTATGGCAAACAAGTTTGCAGCAATGGGCATATAAAGTTCAGAGAGAAGCCTACAGTAAAAATACCAATGTGCCTCATTCAAGTAGTTTGCAAGTACTTTCTGTGATGTTGTCATCTTCCTGGGCCTTTCTTTGGCTTGGCAACCATTTCTGTGGCCCTTTTCAGAATGAGGAAAGTGCAGAATTATCTGCAAATAACAGCATGAAATTTTTGTGCAATTGAGCAATTTGCTATACGACATTGCTGCCCCATGGTTGTGTATGTTGGATTTATGATTGAGACAACCCTATTAGAAGTTCTCTATTAGAAGAGTAAGCACATTAGATTGCCATGTGGGCCTTTAACTGCCTTTAGCTCATAACCGGATCTGTGGATTGGGTTCCGTATTTCTTCTATAGATGTTATGTTTTTATTGTATTTTACATGTTTGTTGTTTTAATTTTATTTTAAATATACAGATTTCACATACATTATTCTCTGTCCAAACTGCTCTGTTTAGCCCTGCCTAAATCTCTGCTTGCAAAGAAAACTATACCTATGATAACTATCAAAGGGGCGTGTCAAGGAAATTGGGGTGGGCAGCCCTTTGCCACTTTCTTGAGCATCTAAATTTATGCTAGAGCACCTATCATTAGTGGAAAAGTTGGAGGAACTGGGACCTATGGAGAATTACTCAGGACCATGAGGTTCTCATTGCAAGGAGGGGGGAAATCACCTACTACCCTTCATGAGCAAAATCACCATGGTTTTGCTTTCCTTTGACAGCTTTCCTTTTCACAGCTGTCAGGGGAAAACAAAGTTCATATAATAATGATAGATTGTGGAGGTGGAGGAGGAGGAGGAGGAGGCGCAGCCGCCTATCTACAGCTTCCATGAGACAATGTCCTGTGTTGGCATTTGCAGCACTTTTTAACAGTAGGAAGCCCCTGGGACATTGACCAGGTGAGGCCACTTATTTCAGACCTTCCAAACTCAAGGTGCTGCTTGGGTGCTTTGGAGGGGCTGCCATTGGTGCGGGAATGAGTGAGATTGCCAAGAGTTAAATGGGAGGACGGGCTGCCAGTCTTGCTGAGAGCATCACTTGCCACTCTTCTTTGCCCACTATCCCCAGAACACCCCATAGGCTCTAGGATGGGGTGAGGGGGAGAAATAAACTACCCTGCATTACGTGGTCTCAGTTCAGGTTAGGTGACACCCACCATGGCTAGGTACCCACAATGGGTTATGGTGTCATGCAATCCTGCCCACTGAAAGGTCCTTGGGAATAAAGGCCAGTCCTTTAATTCTCCCAAGTCTGATGATGGTGACAATACTTTAAAAACCTGTAATAAATACTATTTTGCATTGGCAAAGAGCTGTTAAGATCAGCCAAACATTCAAATTAGGAGGCATGGAAGATCACAAGGCAATCAGGGGAGCCAGGAATTTGAGCGCCGCTGGGTGCAGTGGCTTTGGAGACTTGGGAATTACGGGCTTCAACCTAAGATTCAGGGACTCGGATTATCTTTTCACCATTGAGAAGAAATTGTGCAAGAGATCTCAGAAGACACTGAAACCAAAATAAACATCTGTTTCCCAGAAGCTACTTTGGTGGGACTACTCAGAGGACTTTCCAGAAAGCAGTTACAGAAGAAGAAGCAGCCATGCAATTTGCTCCATCCTTGCTGGTTGTGTGGCTGCTGCAGGTGATCTCAGTACAAGGTAACTACTGATGTTGTGCTCAGGCATTTAGGGCTTCGTTTCTAGGAGGAACGATATAGCAGTTCATAGCTTCTCTGGACGACTGTTCTCATAGTTCATGGTCAGCACCATTGGTCAACACTCCCTTCTTTTCTAAATGGAGTTGAAGCCATAAAACACTCCTTATTTTAACCTCAAACAAGTGGGTAGCATGTTGAACTGGGACTCAAGGGATCCAGGATCTGGTCCTCGCTCGGCCATGAAGCACATGGGGTGACTTTGGGTCTGCCATGGACCCTCAGCCTAACCAACTACTCAGGAATGTTGCTGTGAGGATAAAGTAAGAAAAGGAGTCCCCTGTAAGCCTTCTGGGGTTCCTTGCAAGTGGAACAAAAGTGGGCTACTAAACGCATCGGCATCACCACCACCACCACTTAATCTCCGGGCATGTTCTAGGGCTAATAACCCTAGAGCATTTCCTGTCTGGATGGGACAAAACAGGAAACTCTGATCCAATTCATCCATGAAACTATGGAGTACCCAAGTTGTGGTAAGTTTCTGCATTGTTCCTCCTTCAACAAACTGGAATTATCAGTCTAGGAGCTCCTGGGCTGTTCATAAAAGTGATGCAAAGTGGAAGCGGTGAGCCCATGGGAAGCAGCATGCTCATGTGCTCACTGCAGCCCAGAGCGGTCAAAACAGGTCCCATTAGAGCCCTCCTGGGTGTATCACGTGAGCAAGAGGCTCATGCCAATCTCATTTTATTAATCCAAAATAGGGATATTGAGATGAGGCCGTGGTAACCAGGGCCCTTCCCCTGCTCCTACTTCCAGTCATGCTCTGTCTTCGTCTTCTACAGGGTGTTTTACCTGAAACATCTTTCCTTTTTGATTCCCTCAGGTGCTGCTAACTCAGAAGTAGGTAAGGGGACCTCAATGTATTGAAAGCTTTTGTACTCTGAGGGAGAAGGAGAAACGGAAACTCTGTGAGAATCCAGAGGTGATCTAGTCCTGCATTCTTACATAAGACAGGACCTTCTTTCATACACCATGACCTGGCTGAACAACTGTGCCATGCTTAACAAGATGGTTTGTTAACAACATGCTGGCTGTGTGCCAGCCAGATTTCTTTAATTATTCTTGCTGGGTAGACCATGGGCTGTTGCTAGGTTATTTGAGGGTTGTTCTCCACTTTTCATTGGATGTGTAAAGGCTGGTACAGTAATTGGACAGTAGCCCAGTGCTGGTATGGTACCCATTATGGTGCCAATGTGGGACTATAGTTGACAGGCACATGGATGTCCTCACGTGCCACTAACCCCCATGGCTTCAATAAGCCACAGTGGTTTCTTTGACCATGCAAACTGGCCCATTATCTATTATCCATTTATTCTGAGAAATCTTGCTTTCTATCCCAAGAGTTCTATTTTGCACTGCAAATCAGTAATAAATCCTCTTGCATTCTCTCCTTGCTCCACAGTCTGTGGACAACCGGTGAATTCTCCACGAATTGTTGGGGGCCAAGCAGCTGCTGATGGGTCCTGGCCCTGGCAAGTCACCATTTTACGACGTGGCTATTTCATTTGTGGGGGTTCTCTCATAGCCAATGAGTGGGTTCTGTCAGCAGCTCACTGCTTCTTTCGGTAAGTATCTGGTATACTTTACTGTGAAAGCAGAGACAGTTGCAAAGGCAGGCTAATTCTGTGCCTAACTGGCTAAAGCTAAGCCACAGCAAACAAGGACAGGAGAAGCAGGGAGGAGAACAAGCAAATGGCTGGTAGGTAGGAGGGGACATGAAGAGACCAGCTGGTGACCAAGCCAGGGAACAAGTAGCTCAGTGGGTAATCGAGCACATGCTGGCAGTCACTTGGCTGGTTGGTTCATTCGTCCATCAGTCAATGGGGCAGATAGTACAAGAGCTGCTACAGTTTTGTCTAACAGCAAGTGACTCAAACGGAAAAGCCAAGGCCCAGGTCATCAGCTTGATGGGGGCAGGTGGAATGCCATTGGCTTCTTTTGCCACCTGACAATTCTTGAGTTGGTAGCAACTGGCACATCACCCTCTAACTCTCTGCTCTGGGGACAGGGAAGTGTAGCAACCAGGAAAAGAACCAGCTCTATTTACTGATCCAGTACAGTTCAAGGGACCCTGCCGCCATTTGCAAGGATGTTTTGCATGGGGTCCTCTGCTGTAGTTACACCCGGGCTGAGGAGCTGTAGCACTTAGAGAAACCTCTCACAGCAACGCAACTTGAAATATGCTGCTATCCAGAAAGACATGCCAGTGTCATGATAGGTCACAGAAGAAGTGTCCCTTTTTCATTCCTTTCAGCTGTGCTTTCTACTCCTGTCCTGGACTGAGCATAGTTTGAGCCTAATACCTGTTCTTCAAGACTATCAGAGGTGTATCATCCTCTGTGGTGGGGCTGTCTTTGAAAACAGTCCAGAAAGTTCAGCTAGCCTAAAATAAGGCACTGAGATTGTTAGGAGGGACTGGACAACAAGATTGTGTTAGGCCAGCATTTCATCATCTGCACTGTCTGCCCGTCAGTATCTGGGCCCAAATCAAAGTGCTGGCTGGTATGAACATTCAAAGCCATTAATAGCTTAGGGCAGTGGTGGCGAACCTGTGGCACAGGGGCCTCATTGGGCACACAGAACCCTCTCTGTCAGCACACGAGCCAAGTCACCCCAGCATCGCCCCAGCAGCCGAGCATCGGATAACAGTGCACATAGGGGTCATGCGCCTGCTCGAAAAGGAGTAGTGGCGCCAGGCAATGACATCACAAGTCACAGCTCATTAGCCATGATTTGTCCAAGCTTTTGCATGACCAGTCAGTGCACTGCCAAGGATATATATATATATATATATATATATATATATATATATATATTTACTTGGACTGCCTATAAATTGTTTTTTCTAAACTAAAGCCTCAGTATTCAGGTTTCAAAATCTTAATTTTTGCAGTGCATAAAATAAAAGTGCATGTAGTATTTGAAGTTTTAAAGTTTTGAAGTTGTGTTTTATAGTTTGATTGCTGTGCGAACCACCCAGAGAAGATCAGTTATTGAGCAGTATAGAAACATAATAAATCAAATATACTCCCTGGAGGTAGACTCTCAGATTGCTCTGTCCAATCTCATCATGGAGCCCCAACGTCTCCTGTAGTTTGGCCAACGGTGGAACGGAGTCTAAAGTCTTCTATGTTTCACTGATGCCCAAAGCCCAGCTGCGCAAGCTCCTGTTGCATTTTCCTCTTGTGTTTGCAGATACCCCAATAGCCCATATCTTGTGCTGCTGGGTACCTATCAGCTCTTCAACCTGACAAGTAATGTGACTGTCTCCAGAGTGCAGAAGATTATCCTCCACCCTGACTATAATGGCCATGTTGGTTCCTTAGGAGATATTGCTTTACTTAAACTGCAGACTCCTGTGGAATTTACAGGCGACATCCTGCCCATCTGCCTGCCAGGCGCTTGTGTAGAATTCCCTCCAGACACAGACTGCTGGGTCACTGGATGGGGAATGATTAAAGAAGGAGGTGAGGAGTGTTCTTCTTCAGGCCCACTCAAACTCTACTGACCTTCTCTCAAATTGAGAAGGGACAGGGGAGCGGGGTGGGAAATAGCTCCCTTCCCAAGGAACTTACAGCCTCATGGGGAGATAGAAGAACACAGGAACCACCTAACAGGACCTCTGTGTGGCTGGTTTCATGTTGCTTGAATCAGGAGAAGAGGGTAACTGCTAAACATCAGTATCCCAAACTCCATGTCCTCGAAGTTCCTTCCTTCAACATCCGTTATTTTCCTACAGTGCCTTTGTACCCACAAGTCCTCCAGGAATTGAAGGCGCCACTCATAAGCCAAAAGGCCTGCAATGATATTTTTAACAATGCCTCATCCAAAGACATGGCCATGGATCCTATCAAGGCTGGTATGATCTGTGCTGGTTTCCCAGAAGGTGGAAAGGATTCCTGCCAGGTAGGAGGCTTTGTCTCCTCTTTTTATGCTGCCATAGCCTCTGGTGGACTGGCACACTTCACAATCTGTCAGAACACACTCCAGCAGTGTGTGATTCTAGTGTGGCAAGATGCAAAAGAGGACAGGAGTTGTACCTTTAGGAGTTGTGAAGAAGAGAATCTCTCAGCAGGACTAGCCTTACTGCATTGCACAGTGTGGCATAGCATTTATTAAATTTCTGGACCACAAAATTCTCCAGACGATTTACAAAGATTAAAACCTTAAGCATGCAAACATATAAACATTCCACACGCAAAGAAATGCACATATATCTAAACATATATTTAAACAATCAGCAGCAACAAAGCCAAGACCTGCTTGAAAGTTCACGGGGTGTTGTCAAATGGCCTAAGAGAAGGAAAAGGCCTTCACCTGGTGCTGAAAATGGATGATATTGGCATCAGGTATGCCATGCTGGGGAAATGGTTCCATAACTAGCCCCCACTGAGAAGGTCATTATCTCTCTCATTGGCTGTCTCTTATCCTCCCTTGGAGGAGGCACCTGCAGGAGGGCCTTAGATTGTGACCCACCATAATGTGTGGGTAGGTTCACACTGCGAGGGGTGCTCCATCCACTGTTAGAAGCTTGATGGAAGCCTTTGAGGTCAAAACCAGCACCCTGAACTGGGCTTGGAAACACGTAGGCAGACAGGCAGTGCAAGCAGGTGAGAATGGGTGTGCTATGCTCAGACCATCCGATCCCTCTTACCAATCTGGCTGCCACAATTTGCTCAAGTGCAACTTCTGAACTAGCATTGCAACAGAGCTCCCCAGAATCTGTCCCTCTTCAGTGTGCAGACTTCCTTCCGTGTTTGTCCCAGTCTTGCAAAGCAAGCCTAGATAAAAGAAAGTCCATGAACACTCACCAAAGTCCAGTTGCACATCCAGCACGTGTTTGCACTGGTGACCTCCTTCAAAGGAGAAGGAAACATTTGGGAAATTGGAGAGCAGATCTTTGGTCTACATGGGAGATGGTACCAGTTTTTTCCACTCTTTATGCCCCATCTTGCCATGCTCTAAGGGGGAAATCTGAATTAGAATACAGTATGTTTCTCACCCAGTAGAATGATATCTTTGTTGAAATGGTCTGGGGTTAAATTAATTGATTAGATAATTCATTAAGAGTGTGGTTCTATACAAAAATTAGACTGCCAAAAAAAAGAATGAAAGAAAAGAAAAGAAAAGAAAAGAAAAGAAAAGAAAAGAAAAGAAAAGAAAAAGAAAATAGGCAGCTAATATTCCTGTAGATGTAGATGACAAATGTAGTTGTCATCTACATTTTCAATTGTCATTTTCCAGTAATTCTTGCAACTCTCATGGCAGGCTTGCCTTGCTAACCCCTATTGCATGGTGCTAAATTTTGAAAAGCAGGAGCTCAGCATGACACACCACAGAGCCATGCCCCCAAGGAGAACCCAAATACCTTGAACCACCTGAGCAAGATCCTCTACAAAGCCAATGAGCCTTAATTGCCCATTTAAGACCAATCCATCCGAAGACATTCACTACAGTATACTGTTGTCAGGAAAATTCATTTCCTCTAGCTACAGAACTGTGGTGAAGCTCAGAGAAAATACGGAATTCTGAGCAGAGCAGCTGGTGACCTCAGCTAATGAGAAGGGATCAGTGCTGTGCCCCTGGCAGCCCTGGCTCTGCTGCAGCTCTGGGGTTAAGGCTGACCGGTTAACTCACCTAAGGCCACCCTTATGAATATGTGGCAGAGGAAAGAGTTGAACCTGAGTCTGGCTCTCTCATCTGCTCAGCTTTCCAAACGAAATGTGGGAGAATTTGCCCAGAATGTGTTCAGTCTCCCCATCATTCCTTTCCACAGGGAGACTCTGGAGGACCCTTGGTTTGCAAACTTGGAGAAAGTTGGACCCAAGCTGGAATTGCGAGCTTTGGAGTAGGGTGTGCCAGACCGCACTACCCTGGTGTCTACACATCAGTGCCTTACTATGCTAAATGGATCGATTATATTATGGCCAGTGGTGGTGGTGGGCAGAGTGGGGATAGAGGTGGGCAGTCTGGCGGGCAGAGTGGGGATGGA